TAATCACAGATTTTACAAAGGCACAAAAGACTGCGTGAAGTTGTAGCCTTGCTCCAATATTACTTACCTCAATGCTGCCCGAAATCATTATTAAATGACTGTAAATTTCCCCAAAAACCCGGCCAGACGAAGGTTTTAATACCGAATAATTAAAATATCGGCTTAAAACTTTATTTATACAATACTCCGGTGCCAACGCGGCAGGTTCAGTCTTTTGGTAGAGGCCACATTTATAAAAGGGAAGAACCGGAAAGCGAGATTGAACATAGAGACCATTCATATCTCGGAGGGTTCGAAACCAAGCTGATAATTCATCCAGATGTGAAATTAAGGGCGGTATTTCAACTTCATAAGTACAGGAGAGACAGAATCCCACAATGATTGACGTGGGTGAGTAATTGCTCCCCGTTTTTCTTCGACTCACCAGAATTGCTAGGAAATCTGACGTAACGGTTAAATGAGGAAGGAGTTGTGCAATCCTTCCAGTTAGGAGATCGTGTCTTACACATGCCCCATCCGATTGGACTGATACGTATTCTAGAAATATGTAGCTCGGGTTCAATTTTTGTAGCACGATGGTATTCATTGTTCTTATTAGAGAAATTTCTACCCTCCAGTGTTCCATAGATGATCTAATGGAGGAATAATGCTCTATCCAAGATAAATCAATAAAGATGGAGTGACACTTGCTGTGTTTTGTGGGTGATGAAGGCTTTAAATTTGGTTTCTGCAGGGGGCCTACTTCCTCATTGTTGTCCAAAATTCTAGGAATTTGTCCACTTTGGAGGAACGAGAGAATCTCACGGTTTGAATCTCTTCCATTGTTGTGCAGAATGAGTAAGAAATTACATCTTTCAAAGAGAGAAAGTACACGGAGGACACTTCCCGAATATTGTGAGTTGAGAGGTATTATTGTGCTTCTAGTAAGAAGCAAGCGATCCAGCAAGAAAACGATTAAAATCGTGGCAAAAACTTCTAAATTCGAATTATCCATTTCACAAAATTATTAAAGTCTCAGGCGGACGAAACGTAAGAAGCTACATAAATTTCTCGAGTCCTGTTTAAATATGTATCGTATTTGTAGAACTGAACTCATTTTAGGAAACGTTTTTAAGTTCACACACCTCTTTTTACAAGTGCACTCGCAACCGGCAATCAGGAAAAGGCTTGTAGTAAATGAGTAAGTACGGTAGATTCCATTTATCATTAATTTCCATTCAGAAGTAGTTTACGACACAATAACTTTTCTTATTGAATATGTATTCTTTGCTAAATAGGTAATTCAATAATAAATTAAGTGGATTGTGTACCATGAAATGTTTATTCTGTTTCTATGTATTATAGTATTGAATGAAACTTTACCAATAACACTTCCTATGCATGTATTATATTGATTATCCAACAACAATTATCTTTTTATCCTTATCAATTTGAATTGCAAAAAGTAGCCAAATACTTATTTCGACTACAAATAAATGCATCGTACTAACAATGCTTTCATAGGATGAGTCATAAGGAAGGTAATCTAATTTTATCAACATTGTTTACACATGTACATACACTCTTAAAAAAATCAATAACCGTTGGTATTGATACGTCCCAGGTGAAAAAATTAAGGGATTTTGTGCATAAATTTGGCTGATTTTTATGCAGAGAATTGGCTGGATTTTAAGCAGAAAAATTTATGCCGAAACAATTTGTACATAAAATGTGCAGAATTATGCATAATTGTGTAAAATATTTCTGCAGAATATACCTGTCAGAAGTTTTATGCAGAATCGTTCATACGTTTTATGCACAAACCATTGGTCCTGGGCAGTTGTGTCGAATTATGTCAAATTCGACACACGATTTTCATCCGGGGTGACTCTACCGCGTGGTATTGAATTAATACTACGTGGTAAAAAATTTAATACCAATTAGTATTAAAATTGTTACCGTGAGGTATAATTTCAATACGGGTTCTATACCAATATGGTATAACCGTTTAATACCAAGGCGGTAAAGTCACGTATCAATACCGTTAGGTTTTTTTCAATACCAAGTTTCTAAGAGTGTATACATGACTGGTCATATATGTATGACCATATGTAGTTCATCTCGTCATCTCAATCGTTTCAATTTATCTATTTATTTAACTACTATAGGTTTGTACTGATCTATAGGTAGTTTTTACCGATTAATTTTGTATCGACGGGTTTTATAAAAATTGGATATAAATTGCTTCGCGGATTTTGCAACAAATAAATCAAACTGATTGGTTGTTGGATCAAAATTCTGCTCAAACATAATGTAAAGTTACGAAAATCTGTTATGATGCTCAGTTCACGACGACTACCAAGTGAATACTCCAACTGTTTCAATGGCTTCGTCTATACTAGCAAGTTTAAAATTACAGATCTACATATATACGTATTGTCTATGGAAATTTTGAATTATGCAGAATTCCTTCCGCAGCTGCGAGATTGTTTAATGTGTAAATCGTCATTAGCGTGTGTGCTCTTTGCTTTGTTATACAGATATATGTATGTACAAATGATATGAAAATGAAATTCTATTTCATAAAGCTAATTTTGTCAGTGAAGAAGATTATGTATTTCATAAATTTTAGTCACATTCGTTTATTTCCAAATTCTAAACTTTTAGAAAGGACCCCTACAGGGTCAAATTTATAGTGCCCAACCAAAATTTATTTTCCTCCAACCAAAAGAAATAATTTTCGCAACACTAAAATTTGCAACCAATCGAATTTTTTAATCCAACGAAAATGTAAAATATTACAACCAACAAATTTTATATTTAAGCAGCAGAATAGTTAAGTTTAGGCAACAAAAATGTTCAAATGCAACAAAATTTTTAGTAAATTTCACAAGTTAGGAGAAAAATATCTGTATTCAATTAATAATCAAAGCTTTCCCTACATCATGGGCTTACAGTTTCTGACCAGGCGAGGTAAAGATTCTTTGTTATTCTTAGTGAGGCAAATACCTAACAACGAAAAAAATTACTAAGTATGCATTTGACCCACCCCAAAAAAGTGACCATCTGCGATATCTCAGTCATTTCTCAACCGATTTTGATGAAATTTTGCACCGATTATTGTTGCATAATACAGAAATGGGATCTGATCCGACTAAGCGATTACGTGATCTTGACCGGAATTATGGGCAAAAATGTAGCCTTAGAAACACATTTGTAATTATTGCTGGTTACTAGCAAACGTTATCAACAGTTAGATACCCACGAATTGTAGGGCAGTTTATCCCGAAAATTTAAAGCATAAATATATCAAAATCTGTTAAGAATTGGCTTAGTTATTCCAATTTGAAGTTCAGAAATTCCTGCTCGTGCTACGAATCATTGCCATTGACAACGACGCAAGACTAATAAATTGAAAACAAATTACATTCAAAACTGTAAACAGCACAACTAGTCGTTTCTGTAACATGCTTGGTAAACTGCGTGAAATTGTTGTTGTTGGGTTTGCACCTCCAGATCAGGTGTTTAGTAATCTAGGCCGGACATTTTGACCAAAATGATATAAATCGGTTAAGAAATAACGGATTTATTCAATTTTAAACACCCAGCATTTAATAAAATTATTCCGCATCAAACTACTGAAAAGGGGTAGTGCAATGCAGTTATCCAATGGGCAATCTAATTACCCAATTAAAAGTTATAAATAAACAAGGTCCCTAAAAAGGGGAAATCTTAGTGAGGGAGTGCAATCACAACTAATAAATAAAATTAGATTGGAGAATTTTTGCATCACCGCTCTCGGTACCATTTTTACTGGAAGAATTAATCGTTTAAATAGAACACTTGCTCCCTCAAAAGGTTCGATGATTTTGCATAGAGTAGCCAAATTAATATATGAAATTGAAATTTGTATATTTTTTTAAACAAATACGTAGCTCATAATTATTTAGTCATTATATCTTACATATCTACCTCAGTTAATTTAACCCACTTCTCGTTCACTACACAGTAAAAATGTATTTCTTCCTCAATTTATTCAATAAAACTAACAATTCATGCATATGCAAAGAAAAATTTATACTGCATCCAGTAAAAATAGTACCGAGAGCGGTGATGCAAAAATTCTCCAATCTAATTTTATTTATTAGTTGTGATTGCACTCCCTCACTAAGATTTCCCCTTTTTAGGGACCTTGTTTATTTTGACAAGCACTATATTTTCTTATCGAAAACCGTTATAATACGTTATACATTAGTATTTTGTATGTCGTCCAGACGATTTTGCATATATTGAAGTTTGGCCCTGAAAATTTCTGATCTATTTTCCAAAATTGTGTTGGGATTTTTTAAGTGGTTTTAAACCGTGTATTGTGGGAAGCACGCTATAATTCCACCATGTCCTTACTTGTGCTACGCCGTTATCCAAAGTATGGTTCCAAAAGCCTTGCATTATGATAAGTAATTGTGAAAACTTGCAGTTCATTCCATAAAGCTTCTCGAGCAATAAATGTAAGGCGTTAGGTGCAAAAAGTTGGAAGGTGGAAACCCTTTCTGCCTATACTTTTTTTTGTTCGTAACCTAATTCTCGAAATTTTTCTTTGCACAAGTTTTTTTCAAACGACCCAAACATCTTACAATAGGCTTTGTAATTTTCTGTGATTTAAAATTTGAATTTCAAAGTTGAAAGTAAATTTTAAACACATTTTAAACTTTTGCATTCAAACCATTCAAACCAACACCGACAATATATGTATCTCCATCAATAGCTTCACAAATAGACACATATGTTACGTGACGGGGGTAAGCTATCAAGTTTTCGTGACGCCATAACAGCGGGTTGGTGTCCAAAAAAGCGTTAAAAAATCCAAAGTAAAAAAAATGCGTTATGAAGTTTATGAACGTCCCCTAACTTGTGAAATTTCATAAAGATTTTGTTGCATTTTAAAATTTTTGCTGCCTAAACTTAATAATTCTGCTGCTTAAATATAAAATTTGTTGGTTGTAATATTTTATATTTTCGTTGGATTAAAAAATTCGATTGGTTGCAAATTTTAGTGTTGCAAAAATTATAGCTTTTGGTTGGAAGAAAAAAAATTTTAGTTGGGTGGTTATATTGGCACCCACCTCTAAATATGCAAATTTACATATCTTTTCCCTCTTTTCATACTGATTGGCTGAAAAAATTGCAGAGCAATGTTGAAAGAAATTTCTTATTTTGGTACATTTTGGCCGATCCACTCCACAGCTTCGTCAATGCTAACTTTCCCATCCTTATTTACGTCAGCCTCCTCAAAAAACTTGTTGTAGTCGACCCTTGGGAAGTTCGGATCGTGAATCAGCAACAACTGAACGATACACTTGAACTCGGATTCATCGATAAATCCGTTCTTATCTTTGTCCATGGCGGTGACATTGTGTCGCATCATTTCTTTTGGGTCGTCAATTACTGCAAAACAAGCGACGGCAAGGTCCAGAGAAAGTTTTTTGTTGTGAAAGTCACGCAAATAAGCCCTGTATATTGCCCTCTGCTCCTCAGTGCAGGTGTACTTCATCGTCGCAAATAAGGCGTTGAGATCATCGACGTCGATATGGTCATCTCTAAAACTCGGCATTTTCTTGAAAGCTTCGACCACCTCGACTTGACCGTATCTCCGATTGTGAGCCATATCGTCCAAAAATCTAGTTTCAGGTTCAAATCAGCATTTTGTTAGTTAAATTTTAAAGAAAGATTATGATTTTTTCGGAAATAATCTATACAATTTAGTAGCCACTTTCCGAAAATGGTTCTCTGTGGTAATTTCCAATACAATTGGCCTACTAATGACAAGTTTCGCATAGGGAAGATAACCTGAGAAATTTTGCAAACAAATTGCTGGAAAACTACCCCTATGATTTTTTCACAAATTTGTGACATTCATTTTTATAGTTTGTAAAATTATTTAACAAACTCATTCTTTTCGTCAATTTACGAAATCCATGAAAACTGGATCAAACGATTTTCTTCAAATATAGTTTGGAGACAAGAAAATAGTTTTTCTAAATTGGCGAAATTACGCTTTGTTAATACCCTTTTGTGCTTCGATTCAAATTTGAGAAATAATTTGTCATGCTCAGTAATACTTTGCCGTGAGTATGCCAAATATTTTACTTGATTAAGCTAAAAATTATACTCATATTGCAAAGTTACATTTTGATAACACAAGCCTACCTGTAATTCAAATTCTTCAAAACTGAATTTTAAATATTTTCAGGTTTTTTTTAATATTCAAAAAGTTGATTTCATGGATAATTTTACTTCACCCTGTATAAATACGTACGTAGATATGTATCTATTTTATTTATTGACAGTTTTATGTACATATATATGTCTATATAACGGAAACCCGAAGCTATCTATCTATTTAGCAAAACATCTGTGATTTACTTGGTAAGTACCTTAGTTGGTCTATATCTTGTTGTATATATAAGTAAACAAAAATACTCACCTTCAACAAAATACAGGTAAATTCCTTACAGCTTCACGTTCCAAGATGAAATGAGCACTTGCAAACAGGTCTCTGGTCTGTTCTTAAGTACGAAGAAAAGAAGGAAAACAAGGTTTATTTAGTTAATTGAGCAGGAAGAAAATGCAATAAATTATGTGCATACAATCCGATCCGTGTCTCACATTCCAGATTGCATATCGCCTTTAAAAAATCTTAAAATTACCAGAAATGCATGGGTTGCAGTAGTGCTCAGTGCCTACCGTTAAAAAAACTATACGCTCTAACAACTTGTACCACGCGATAATCACGGACCGGTGATTATACCCATATACAGGGTGGTTTAAATGTCAGGTTACAGTGGAAATTCTTTTTCAATGGGAAAAATTCACAAATCTCCATTAGTCACCGAAATTTTGCTCCTACAGTTCAATATTTTAAGAATTTTGCCATCAGTGTTCCATAAGTTCTGATAAAAATTAATAAAAATCTCAATCTCCAATCCGTAACTAATGGAAATTTATGAATTTTTCCCATTGAAAAATTTTCCATTGTAACCTGACATTTAAACCACCCTGTATACATACATAACTTCACCGGATGGTGATAATATGTCACCGCTTGGTTAAGGCGCAGTCACCACGTGGATTCAGCCCACCACTAGTCGGTGGCAGTTAATCACGAACCTTGCTTGCTACAACCGAAATGGTAACAAGCCTGATCACCACAGCCGGTAAAGTCATATTTATCTCCGCTTTGCTAAGAGTGCATATGCAAGAAATACCTTTTTTCCAGGCATATATAATTTCTTGCGGGAGAGCAAGAAATGCAGGAAATAAGTGCAACTCGGCTGTCAACCTCTATAATTAAGTGTAGTACAAAGGATGAGATACTAGGTGGCGCCAATTTCTTGCATTTCTTGCAGTGCAATGCAAGAAATCAGGTCACGTCGAAACCCAAGCTAATTTCTTTGAACTTTGCATTGTAAATGCCTACATAACTGCAATAAAAATGATTCCGTAAATGCACAAATTATTTAATAAGATAATCAACCAGGAAACAGTTTTAAAGAAGTGAGCTAGGCCAAGGAACATGGTTTATGCAGTTACAGAAGCGACGTCAAACTGCATGGCAGATAGAAACCGCGCCATAATTAATTAGGTACAAAATGCACTTATCAAAATGATCCCATAAATTACTACTTAATTGGATAAACACCCAGTGAAAAACCCAATTGAAACACGTATGTAAAAGTGAGGTAGGCCAAGGAAATGGTTTCCGTATGTACCAAATATGTATTTGGTTGCAGATGGGACGCCAAATTGTCTGGCAAACAGAAACCGTCCCGTAATTAATTAGGTACAATATGTACCATAAATTCCTCTTTTCCTGGTATAATTTCATATTTACTCCCAAATGTCTTGCACAACTTTTCTAAGGTACATATTTACATAGATAACCCCTCCAAATTGTTACATATCATATGTATAAATAGACAGGTTTTAGTTGACTAACTCTCCGATTCTGTTTTTTCTACAATCAAGAGTCGAGACAATTCCTTGTCAGACATGTATTTCTGTCTTATTGTCCCCTTCATCCTCATCATTGCCATGGACATCAACCTGGTCCAGGTTTCCGCTTGTAGCAACGAAGTGATCCAAACTATCTGTCCTGGCACAAATATTTAAAGATCAGCCAACGAGACATACAGATTCCAGACAGTTAAAGATTTCGTTTGGGTAAATAGTGGTGATTTTGAAAAAAATCTGTACTAAATTTGATCAATGTACTTTCCTTGCTTGCATTTTCAGATGATAACCCCACGAAAGTGCCTCCTCTCCAACGCGAAGCAACCCACTTATCGCTCGATCTATGAGTGCCTCTCAGCTACCGTGATCGACCAGGAAACTTGTGAAGGTTCGGGGACCATATTGTTCACACTTGACAGATTCACATGACACCCAGATTTCCTATCCCTCGTCAATAGTTTGTCCGGCTAGAACCAGTGGCTGCAGAAGTGTGGAGACAAAGGTATAATGTCCTTTCCAACGTTCCCAGATGTCTCCACAGCTTCCACAACCACCGGCTCCAACTCGGCCACCTTACTTGCGTATGGAGCATACACGGTTATAAGTTTGGTATAGTCAGGCAGGTATTGATTTCTCGGTATTAAAGTTGCTACCGCTTCATAGGTAAATAAATTATATCGGTCCGTACAAATTTGCAACCGATGTGGTACAGCTCTAATACTGAGCTACATATTGCTAAATTGGATGTATTACTTATCAATCCCAGTTTCATAGAGTTACATGTATATGTATCAACCTGAGATTATTTTGATACTGGATTTATATATAAGGGTGAACAGAACACTGGCGTACCGTGGACGAACCGATCAGCGACCCCAACCCCAATGGGACCACGACAGCTTTTATGATGTCACGTTGTCGGAATGATAGTTGGGCCGTCATGCGACAAGAAAGGCTTAATAATTTGGAATAATTCATTTTCTTAAATCTGAACCAATCAGTCGTACAATTTTATGTAGGTATTTGGGAAAAATTTTATTATCCTGCCGCTAGTGCTGGGGAGTGAATTAATAATTATGTAAACGATATTTGGAACGAGTTTTATTTTAGCGTGCTTACTTGTTAAATTGATATTATTGAACCAACCATCACGAGGTATGTAAACTACTTCTACATATGAGTCGATGGGTGAGACATCATATAAGTAAAACGATAATCTTTTAGCCGAACATCCCCATCGCGAGCATATACTTATCAAGTTATGTTTGTCATATTATTATTATTATTTGTCATATTATTTGTCATACCTCATTTGCATATTAGCACAATCCATAGAGTGGTACAAAAAGGGTGGGTCAGCTTATGTATGAATCAGTGCATTTTATTACATTTAATTTTGATCAATTTCAACCCGCACAACGGCACTACAAATCTGTAAATCTACATAAATTTACATTTAGCAATTTCTAATTAATCAAGTTAATCGATATAGCCGGTGCCGGTGATTTCTTTAAGTATTTGTTGCACCCTGTTAGGACCAAAATTATGCAGGTGTATCCAGTCTAGATCAAACATTTGAAAGTCTTGCACCGACATCCTGTTCTGGACGTCCTTTTGAAGAAATGATTTTAATCCTAATATAAATTCTTGCACAGCAATCTCATCCGTGTTAAACTTTGGAAGAGAATTTGACGCAAATTTTTCAGTGAGATTGAACAATTCCGCACCTACGCATGGGACCAAAACTTCAAAAATAATTAACCCAATCGAGTAAATCTCAGAGCCAAAGGTCGTTTCTAGTTCGGGAGCTTGATATCGCAAATTTCCTCTTCGAGATTTGCTAAATTCTGGGATATTTCCATTCAATGTGTAAGACAGGCCAAAATCCGCGATTTGCACAGGTAACATAAATTTTTCCTGGATATTTCCTTCAAGTTGATTGATCAGAATTCCAAGAGCAGTAAATAAAATGTTGTCAGGTTTCAAGTCACCGTGCAGAATTTTTTTACATTGCAGATATTGCATTCCTCTTATGAGATCGCGGCAAATTGTTAACTGATACCGACCGATTGTGTCTTTAGGATTTTTTCGTCGATTATATGTCTCGGTAAGAAATTGTCGCAAGGTGGGACCCGCTAAATCCATTTGGATCAAACAGCAAGGAACTGGACCTTGGCGGGAGCGGAGAATTAGCCTTTCAATTTGCATCGATAGAGGGTCTCTAAATGAAGATATGTCGCTCTCAGTCATGTCGTCGGGGATATGGTAGTCATATTTTAGGAGAACCTGTTAATCAAATTAGGTATTCACTTACAATGCGATGGTGTGAGGTGGTTATCGCCGATATCGACCGGATTAATTTTAAATTATTCACGTTCAAAAATAAGTGGACCCGTATTTTTTCCTTTTCCTAAATGGGCATATTTACGCCCTTGGCGGAATTTTCAAAAAAAAATTCAACCAAAATTCGGATTTTTAAAAACGCTAACTTTTCGAATTTTAACCCGATTTCAAAAAACAAACCCAATTTGTGTTCAGAATTACATCCCTGAAAATATAATTTTTCTCATTTCTATTTGTTGTCATTTTTAAAATTTAATTTTTAAAAATTTTAAAAATTTGATATTTTCATGCTAGATATTTTTGAATTTTTATAAACCCAAAAACGGATAATTTTTTGAAAATTCAAAGTTTTTTAAAAATGAATTTTTATATTTTCAGGGATGTATTTCTGAACAAAAAATGGGTTTATTTTTTAAAATCGGGTTAAAATTCGAAAAGTGACAAGGTTTTTTAAAATCCGGATTTTGGCTGAATTTTTTTTGAAAATTCCACCACGGGCGTAAACATGCCCATTAAAACGAAAAAATACGGGTCCACTTATTTTTGAGCGTGAACAATTTAAAATTAGTCCGGCGGATATCGGCGATAACCATCTTACACCTCCTCATTATTAGATTTGTGCATAAATATATGTAGGTATATGTATATCGTCGCACATTTTCTAAAAAGACGTAAGTGCATTCGATGCTTAATTTTAAAACCACGTAAGTGCACTCGATGTTTAATTTTAAAACCACGTAACTGCAGTGGATGTTTAATTTTAAAAAGACGTAAGTGCACAAAAAAAACTAGTAAAAAGACGTAAGTGCACTTTTAAAATTATAAAGAGTAATTACTTGTTCAAAATTGTCCCATCAAGGGAAATTTGAACTTATTGGCCCCCGCAGGCAAGTAATGAAAAACAATTCAAAATTTAAAAACCACACCCTCAGGGGGTGTGGTTCTCGGCACCTAGCGTAAGGTGAATTAAATCCTGACGTAGTTATTTCTTCACCTCGGTGACGCAATTCCTAAAGATTATTAAAAATTTAAAAACCACACCCTTTGTGGGTGCGGTTCTCGGCGCCTAATTTGCAATAAATAAAACATGGCAAGCAATATATCCTTTTTCTCATCTCGATGATCCATATTCGACGATACATTCAAAATTGTAAAACCAAAACATTCAGGGGGTGTGGTTCTTCAAGCAAAAATTGCATTTTGACGTTTTTACACCCCCAAAGTTTCAAAGATTGCACTTCAACGTGGTTACACCCCGAATTTTCTAAAATTGAATTTTGACTTGGTTACACCCCCAACGTTTCCAAAATTGAATTTTGACTTGGCTACACCCCCAAAGTTTCAAAAATTGAATTTTGACTTGGTTACACCCCCAAAGTTTCAAAAATTAAATTTTGACTTGGTTACTCCCCCAAATTTTACAAACCTAAATTTTGATTTGTTTACACCCTCAAAGTTTTCCCAAGTCAAATTTCAATTTTGGAAACTTTGGAGGTGTAACCAAGTCAAAATTCAATTTTGGAAACTTTTGGGGTGTAACCAAGTAAAAATTCAATTTTAGAAACTTTGGGGGTGTAACCACCTTAAAATTCAATTTTGTAAAACTTGGGGGTGTAACCAACTTAAAATTCAATTTTGTAAAATTTGGGGGTGTAACCAAGACAAAATTCAATTTTTGAAATTTTGAGGGTGTAACCAAGTCAAAATTCAATTTTGGAAACGTTGGGGGTGTAAACAAGTCAAAATTTAGGTTTGTAAAATTTGGGGGGGAACCAAGTCAAAATTCAATTTTTGAAACTTTGGGGGTGTAACCAAGTCAAAATTCAATTTTTGAAACTTTGGGGGTGTAACCAAGTCAAAATTCAATTTTGGAAACGTTGGGGGTGTAACCAAGTCAAAATTCAATTTTAGAAAATTCGGGGTGTAACCACGTTGAAGTGCAATCTTTGAAACTTTGGGGGTGTAAAAACGTCAAAATGCAATTTTTGCTTGAAGAACCACACCCCCTGAATGTTTTGGTTTTACAATTTTGAATGTATCGTCGAATATGGATCATCGAGATGAGAAAAAGGATATATTGCTTGCCATGTTTTATTTATTGCAAATTAGGCGCCGAGAACCGCACCCACAAAGGGTGTGGTTTTTAAATTTTTAATAATCTTTAGGAATTGCGTCACCGAGGTGAAGAAACAAATACGTCAGGATTTAATTCACCTTACGCTAGGTGCCGAGAACCACACCCCCTGAGGGTGTGGTTTTTAAATTTTGAATTGTTTTTCATTACTTGCCTGCGGGGGCCAATAAGTTCAAATTTCCCTTGATGGGACAATTTTGAACAAGTAATTACTCTTTATAATTTTAAAAGTGCACTTACGTCTTTTTACTAGTTTTTTTTGTGCACTTACGTCTTTTTAAAATTAAACATCCACTGCAGTTACGTGGTTTTAAAATTAAACATCGAGTGCACTTACGTGGTTTTAAAATTAAGCATCGAATGCACTTACGTCTTTTTAGAATTAGTGCGACGATATATACCCGTATTTGTTATGTACACAGATAAATATGTGTGTATGTACATATGTGTTTTGTGGTGGCGTTTGATGTGGCAGTTAATAAAAGATTTGTACTTAATCCTTTAGTTCGTAACGAAGGAAATATATGGACCACAAAATACTTACATACATACGTACATATGTATATATGCATATACATATAACGTCCCCGAATAAATTAATTTGCTTGCATAGTTAATCATACTCGTTAAAGGGTTAATATCCGTAGCACTCACAATTCATAATAATCTTTTTGAATAGCCACTCCCACTATCAGCAGCGAGCCTATTCAGGTTTGGGTGGGTGTAGTCTCTTCGCCGGTTGAAAGGATGAGACTTCTGCTTTCCTCCGAGAAATGGTGCAAATAATGTGTGCACAACAAATGACGATCTCTTTAATGCAACGCCAATTTATTGTCACAATTTAACTCACTAATTATTACACCAATTGTCCACTATTAGGACCACTGTCTCAGCAGTAAGTCTGCTCTGTTCCTATTCTAAACTACGACTCTTTTCTACCTCTTGTTAACCTTTACTCAAATCCAAGGTTAATTGTTCATTGCCTTTCTTTCTCTTGCCAACTCACCACCACCGCGAATCAAAAATAGTGGGGCGACTATTTTTAGACACAAAAAAGAGAGATTTTCATGCATGAAAAGCTTATATTACGCAAAAAATCTGGTGGGCTTCAAATGCTACTGTAATGAACAATCTGAGCTGTGGCCGCGGAAGCTGTGGGGACAGTAACATTGTAGGATAAGCTAGGGAGGGGTAACATTGGCGCAGATGATGGGGACATCGAAAAACAGTGGGACATTGTCCCTCTGTCCCCACATTTTCGCGGCTACTGAATCTAGGTACGAGTAGGTGTATGACATGATAATACCGTATGTCTATAGTCAATAGCATGACATACAAATGTGCTCAAACTCATCCACACGTTTATATTGAAGAGGGTTTAAAATTGTGGTCATGTAATTGCGTCGAATAACGCAGAAATTCAGATAAAATGTAGCCAAATTTTGTTTGTACATAAAAATTCTGATCAACTTCCTAAATTTACTAACCTTAAAATCTGCCTCTGTTAGCGAAATTTCTTTTGCATGCTTTTTGATTCCAAGCACATTTGGATGGATTAGATCCCTCAAGTTTTCCACTTCTCGCATCACGTTTTGAGTCTCATCTCCATTCGAGGGAACAATTAACTTTGTCGCGCATTTGAGCTCCTTGAAGGTTTCGTCCCTTGTCTGAAACACAATTCCGAATGCTCCATATCCGAGTAGCTCAATGTCAGACAGTATGGTCTGAACCCAAACCGATTTAATCGTTGACGTCAATTTTTCTCGGAATTTTGGATTGCTGAATGCACGATACACTTGAAAAATCTTTTCCAGCCAAAAGATCCCATATGTTAGATATTTGTTTTCTATCATTTCCAGGACTTTGGATATTTCCTGGAATTTTTCGCGATTGCACTCAACCTCTTCAAAATATCCATAACCACCTTGCCTTTCCAATATTAGCAAACTGTCTAGTGTGTTTTGCCAAGTCACGTACGTTTCATTTGACTTAACCGTTAACTCCATGATATCATCGCGCATAAGGGCAACCACATTTGCGACGATGTTCTGATTCTTCCCGTCGCCTAAGAGTTGCATAATATCCTGGTTATCACGTGGGATGGAGGGCGGATCTTTAATTATTTTCAAACCAATACTTGTTATCTCAAGATTCTCAAAGTGTTCTAAATTCATAGATTCTGAGCCCTTTGTGACCATCATCTTACGCAGTACACAGGATAAATCGTGGTGATTGGGATATATGGTTTCAATTTTGTCTAGCAATTCTTCAACTCCAGCGTGATAATTTTGAGGAAGTAATAATTGCAGAATTAAGAAACCCAACTTGTAAACAATTGTCGGCTTTTCGGAAAGAGAAAGGTTTGAGATGTCCTTGTTGGAAATAAGATTGAGTAACGATTGGTCTTCGATTGACACTGGTAGTTTGAATTTGCCGGTACCTTGACCATCCGAGGATATCCAATCCACGAAAAAAACGTTTTCTGGAGATGGCACTGGTACAGGGATGTTTAAGTTTCGGTAAAAACCGACACACTCAAGTAAACTTTCGATAACATCAAATGTAAAATAATTTACGGTGGGGGGTTAAGATTAGTGAGGTAATCTTGCAGACTAGTTCTTCCCGAGTGATACTGAATTAGCCAGAATTCGACGTAATATCCTGACTGGATGAGGTCCACAACATCACCAGGAAGATAACTAGAGGATGAGATGTAGCCATATAATTCTTCGGAATAAATTGTGCGTTGAATAATCCCGTCGTAAAAGCGGTGATGATCGTCCATTGACAGGTTAAGCTTGATTTTGGTAAACATTTTTGACACGACCTTTATGCACGCTCCAGGTTTTGGCAAGAGTAGCATAATTCTTGACCGAAATTCTGGCATGGTTGGGATATCCTCTTCTTTTTGAAATAGGTAGCCATGCTCCCCCACACCGAGGTAGGAGAAGTTTTGAATTTCTTTTAGCCAGTGGGTAGAAATAGACTCGCGCAATTTGGTAAAGAGTTGTTGATAGAAGTGAATCTCAAGGTTCCGTATTAGAGTAAAAATTAACCAGGGTCTGAAAAGTACATGAGCAAATTATCTTATGTAGGTACTCATACGTACATAATATGTACACATTATATACGTTGTATTATATACGTTGGTCGTCCAACAAATATTTTCAAAAGGTATATTCCGCACTGTTTCTAACCAAATTTTTGATTAATAGCAAACTTCAAGTGCATTTAGCAGGATGTGATTTTTTTTAGTTCTGTATGTTAACATTGACACTGTCAGTAAATCAGCAAACTTTACCTCGACGGGAAAAATGTCAGATCCACGTCACTTATGTACAACCCAGACTTGACCCTTACTGATTATTATTCGTTTCGAAACTTAAAGAAAGACATCAGGAGGAAATGATTTTCGGATGATAATGAAATCAAATCGTAAATTTTTGAGTATTTTCGGATTAAAATTTGCTGATTTATTGCTAGTGTTAATGTTAACCTACAGAACTGAAAAAAATCAGAGCCTCCTAAATGTACTTGAAGTTTGTTATTTCATCAGAAGTTTGGTCAGAAACAGTGCGGAACATACCTTTTGAAAATATTTATTGGACGAACCACGTAGGTACAATGTATGAAGACTTGCACGTGCATACATATATACGGCTACGTACATAAGTACATACATACATATCATGTTTATGCAATATATGTACATGTATTTACATATGTAAATATGTATACATGCATGTGCATAGTGACGCTATGATAGCGTCGTGTAATTATGTAAGTTTATATCACGTGCATGGGTAACCTTTTGTTCTTCACGTAATGCAATATGCCCTCCAAATTGTTAAGGGAATTTTTTAATTCCACACCAGGAAGTATCCCCTCTTTGTTGAATAAGTTCCCTACGAGTTCATCAACACTGCTCAAACTCAAGGGAAGTTTTGTCAAATCGAGGAACAAGTCTTCCATGACCCCTCTTCCAACGGGGTAAAGTAACAATTTTACGTTTTCGCTTGTGTCAAAAAGAATCACACGATTAAGCATGTACTCATAGATGGATCACTCGGTAGTGGCTTCGAAATGTGGAGAAAACAAACGTTGAACATGCTTCCATGCTCAGATTCGTGTTCTCCCATTTCGGCGTTGTGGGTTTCACAACGCCTTTTGGGGTAATTTGTGTCGTCTTTTTTAGATAGAATGTAGGATGTGGGCTTCATCACCACTACTTCGGCTTGGTGACTGTGTGGATGGGTTCAAAGCACAAAAATATGTATAAAATTTTTTCATTCTTATGCATATTAAATATGTAAATATGCATACGTTTGTATTTAAATGCTATGTATAACCATATGACCATCCGAACGTCTTACGATAACTCCCGTTAAACTATCGACTTGAAATTTGGTGAACATGTAGTACGGGCGAAAGGAGAAGTTGGGTTAGAAGATGGGCTAAATCAGTCAAGTCAACGGAGAAGGTCAACCCGGTGACTTCGGTCAATCACCCACTTACCAGTGGGTGAGGTATAATGCACCAAAATTTCAAAATCCTAGTGGAAAACAAAATTTGGCATATAATTTTGCCAATAGTATCTAACTGAAGAATATTTAGGAATTGAAATTTGAAAATTTACCGAATATTGAAAATTAACCAATCAAGCTGTAATTTTGTGCAGAAGTTGATAAAGGAAGACGAAGGGAAATTGAAAATTTTAAGTCGAGGGACCCTAGAAGGTGCTTACATGCAAGTGTTTACTAAAAACTTTTTAGAAATTGTCTTAACAATATGATATTCGATCCTATTTAAATTAAGTTTTATGAACGAATGTGAAGTTAAAAGTGAGCAACGTGTAACCAAAGTGACCCCAGAAGGTGACTCACATCGATTTCTTAAAATTTCTATGTTAAGACTTGGTATCTAACAGATATTCTCGACATTGGTCACACATGTTTTTGTGCATTAAAATGAAATTACAATGTCATAACGACCGAAGTACTATTTTGAAGGGCCAGGTAGGGTCAAGACTGAGTACATGCCTGATCCTATGTGAAAGAATATGCCGGCTATCCTCGTTTTTAAAATCGTCCGTTAATGCGCTCCAACCCACAAACAGATTTGTAATTTGATGGGAATTGTATGTTGAGTGGATCACTCTATGGACCAAATTCGTTAGGGACTTTGATGCTGCCATTATTGGGGCATATTTTACAACGAGTTTCATGTCAAGGTCATTCTCATTCTGGATCGTGGTAAACGCACAGGCCAATTTATGAAAATCCTCTTCCGTTGTGGCGGATAAAGTGTAGAGCATGATTAATCCAATAGAAAATGTTGCTTTCTTCGGGGCGTTGTACGAAGTAAATATTTCGTCAAACTTGGAGCATGATTTGGTCTCCCATTCGAAAGGAATTATGAGAGGATCAAATTCCAAGATCGGGTTCCAAGTGTTGACATCACGAATCAAACTGTGTCTCGGAAGTAGGACACAGTCTGTTAATTCTGTGTTTAAAAAGGTTTTCAGACTTTCAAAAAGCAAGTGGGACATTTCTATTTGAGAACGAATTTGTCGTTTCGGTTTTTCAAAATTTCTGCGTTGTGGGAATGTCACGTTCATCCAAACATCTAGGGGTGAATCGGGAACGTGAGAAATGGTTAGGATAATTTTTCCTTCAAATTGGTCATCCGTTACAATAAAATTTGTTAGTTGAGTCCTTTCCTTCTCCGTAACGTATAGGAAACAAACTCCTTCGTACTTTTTCAGCAAGGCGTGTTCCGATTCGAAATTGCTCTGCGAAGTTGGATAAAACCATCGTATCAAGAATTCGGAACCTGAGGGGGTTTCGCATTTAAACTGGAACTGCGCTGGTATTGGACCACTGGTAGAACTGTTCTGAATTTTTGCGCCCTGAAGACAAGTTAGGGAGGAGAGGAAATAGTTTTCCATGGTGGAAATAATATCGAGAATGTCACTTCCGAAGGGCAGGTCAGGCCTCAGAATCAATTTCAGTAATGTCTCAAAGTGTGGGAACCTGTTTGACAGAGAATTAGAAATAATATATATTTAAGTAAATATCTATTTATGAATAGGTATTATATAACATAGCTGTTCATTTCATCTCACTACAATCCACAAACCAATCCACCAACTACAAACCACAAACCCTTCCACAAACTACAATCCAAAATTCCACAAACCACAACAAAAAATATTGTACACTTTCCACACCAGAGTCCACTTTGTGGATCCACACTGTGGTTTGAACACCTATGTTATGTAAGTGCAACAAGAACTCTGTTTTGATGATGGGCTGATTTCTATCACCTTGTCGATATTTTTTGCATTCCACGGGACAAAAAATTCAAGAAATGCATGAGTAAGAAACCTTTTGCATTTAATGACGAAAGAAATTTTGTCATTTTATACAAAATGCAAAACAGATATTTCCAGATAACCACATTTTTATACTAGTTCGCTAAGCTAGACGCACTACGCTATTGAATACATATTTCAGCGATATTTATATTTAGGTCTACATAACCGCCCTATGAAAATACTTAACATACTGTACAAAAATATCTACAATGTTGGGAACCCTGCGTAATAATTAGAATTAAAAAATTGAATTTATTATTAAAATTGCAACTCACTCATGCTCAATAATGTATTTTAGAAAAGATGCTTCGTCCAGATTGTCCGGTACATTTTGCAGCCCAGCTAGTTCACTTAAATATTCAAGAGTCCCAATGTTTGCGGAATTATTTTGATATATATTTATCACGCAAGGAATAAGTTTCAGTATCAAATCCAGTTCAAGATTCGAGGTAAATAATTTTTCATGCATTGTTTCAAAATCACGTAAAGTTTTCTCCATTTTGTCCGATATCTATTTCGATTTTATTTTGAAAGAAGAAAATTACAAATGTTGGCGTGATCAAAGAATAAGTATTCACTTAAGTTGCTGGTTTAGGTTTAGCATGATGCCAACATATGTTGTTTGGTCGTGAATCAGTTGTTAACTGTTTGGTTCGTTATGCAAATGATGACACACTGCACTGACCAGTATCTGGCTATTACATAGTCGTGGAGTAAAAGTGGTACATATGTAAATACATATTTATATACATAACATTAAACTACATAAAGTGCTGTCTCACCAATTCCAAGAATTAGTTGTGCCATGGGAACTATGTACATAAATATCCATCAAGTCCTGCCTGTGACTACGTATACAAAATAAATGTTTTTCATTCTTAATTTTCAGTTCCCGATTTGCTCGAATCTTAGCAATATTTGTAAAACCCTGGAATGTATATATCTACCTATATGTATATTGCATACAACGATGAAGCAAGTCATACTAAAACACACCAAATATTCGAAAGTGGTATTGAAACCTGCGTTGGAAAAATAGAAACAGCCAATATAAAATTGGCTCAAACTGTTACCCGCATAAATGTAACAACACAACACTTTCAAATCGGAAACGCCAACACCGCATTGACCGTCATATTCCAAATGATCTCGTAATATTCTCTCGCCGTGTTTCTCCCGACTTGCACTAAATTGAAGTTATTAATTCCAATCCTCAATCGGAGCGGGTGTAGCGCCGCAACTTTCCTTTTCATCAATCTCTCCCGGGGTGGAACGGAGTCCTTTAATTTTTTCAAAAAGTCTTCAATCCCCACCTCCACCTGCACCACGGCCTGAAGGAGGACCTGAATTATCATCAAGATCAAAACCGCCGCGGCGGGAAAGACGGGGTACATGTCTCCCGGAATGATTGGGTATGCCACCAGGGTTGAATAATTGGCCAGAACAGACAGCCAAATTCCCACAGCGTACAGGAAGTAATCATGACTTCGTGAAATTGCGAATCGCACATTGATCAGGATTTGAAGTTGGGAGTAGGATTCTGAAATTAGGGCGAATTTCGAGGGAAAAAAGTTAAGTTGATAAACGGTGTTTAAAAAGGACACAAAATTTCGTAAAGCCTGAAAGACGAGGCCGTAGCAGAGGAAGAATAGGGGCAACATGCGACTTATTTCCGCGCCGGTGGAAATTGTTAGGATTTGAGCCGTTAGAAAGATAACTGCTTTACAGAAAAAGGTCGAATACAGGTGAGGCGGGAGGTATTTTCGTGCGACAAAAAATGTCGGAGTGAGGCCGTACGAGGCTGAGAAGATGCCCGCGATGGGTATTCCGAAGATGAAGGAGCGTACCGTGATGATCATGGCTCGGCCGAAATAGTCGGGACGGGGTGATGTGAACTTTTCTAGGCAAAGGTATCCATCAACGTCTGAAATATTTAATGGCAGGTTAAAACTATACTTCAAAATATTGAGGCAATTCACGCAGGCAGTGGTAACGTTATGAAATCCGTAAATCCTATGCATGCAAACTTTTACAATGATTTAACAAATATTTCTACGGAAATTAGCTCACAAATGTTTGAAAACTTTCTCAGCTTAATCATATCCTTAAAAATAGCCTTTTATTTTGTAAAATAATTTTGCAGAACCCACGGATCTTACGAGTTACCCATGACTTTTGAATTGTCTCATCGAAATTTTGCTATCTATCATAATATTTAGTACAGTTCAATCTGAGTTTTGTAATCTGAATATGCACTTCAAATTTCCTGTTATGAATATTTCGGGAACCAGGATACACAGAATACATAAAAAATGTGCCTCCTGAGAACCTTGCCCTCCGCGTTAAATTGCATTTATGTACCTTGGCCCAATTTGTCCGAAAAATCCAGCACCGAATTAAGAAACTGCACATATTTCTCCCCACTCGTCATTAACACAAGTCCGATGACCAACGCTAACGGTGGATCACTATGATTCCAGCGAATGATAAAATCTTAAACTTGTCCTTTTCACAGTTCGACTCTAGTAATTCTCCGATTGAAAACAGTCCTCCCAAAATACACTGGATTACGTTTAAGAAAATCATGGACAAAATCCACCAGAAAGAATCCCTCGTTTTGAAGGAGGTGAACCTTTTCGTGTTAGGACTCCAATCGAGGCAACATTGTGTCAAGGGTTTGCAACACTTATGGAAAGTGTCAAACGCTTCGATAACACGGGCAGAGATCAGCATCGTATCTTAAGGGGTGGTGCACTCGTTAAAATTGAGAGAAAAATTGAAGTTTCTAAAATAGCGGATAGCTCTACCAATTCCTGCCAAATTATGAATACTATCAAATCGGTAAGATACCCACTGGAAATATGTACCTCGTGCATAAGCGTGGTTTCATAATATCAAATTGATATTATGTATGTAAATTGGTGCAGCGACAAATGATTTCGATTCGGCAACCCTTGTATGCTCGAGACTGATCTTAATTATTTTGTTAATTTGTGTTATTGCAAAATCGGTCAAACATTTTTGCCAAGCTACACAACCGAACTACAGCTGCATTGTTATAGATCGGTGGCGATGTATGTACGTACACAATCCTGGCAAACTTTTATCCCAGAAATTCCTAAACGACATATACATACATAGATACATACGTATATATTAATATAATGGGGTCAAAATTTGTTTAACAATTTCATGACTAATTTTATGTAAAAAATGGACATAATGTACCCGAGATAACATTTTTATGGTTTTCTAGATAAATGTAATAGCAAATATGTATATAGAGGAGAGCCATACCAACTGTTCCACAAACCCTGTTTCCATTTTTAGCAAAAAGCAGAGTGAGAGTTGGACTCTGGTGGGTATCACCACCACCGGCGACTGTCGATGCGACAGTGCCGTATGGTGGTCTGTCTCACTTCTCACTCTCTGCAAATTGTTTACCGGGATTATGAACCAACTCGTGTTGAGATGCTTTTTATCTCTCACACGAGTTGGTTCATCTTTGGAATTCTCCAGTTTTTTAAAATAAAACTAAAAAAGTGGGAGTTTTTTTTATCAAATATTAAAAAAGTGAATCATGGAGGCTCACTCCTCCCTCCCAAGAGAGCAGCCACCTTCACCACCACCCCCAATATCACCCCTGCCACCACCGCCACCCCCAATTTCGACATCACTTCCACCACCACCACCGGATACTACCACACCCACCGAAATAAGCCAAGGTAGGTACCTTTTAAGGTTGAATCTCTGAGAGCAACGGTCAAACGTGTCGAATTTTTTGTCTTGACCGTTTTAGATTGGTCGTGGATTTCAAAAATCGACTTTGTTTTGACTTGTCACGACCGTGTGACCGTGTCGCTTTACCTTTTTGCTACATTTCGATCGTTGTTTGCAACGGATTATTGAAAATGGTATGCTTTAAAAATCAGAGATGGGATAAATATTAAAATTGTTATATTATGTTATATTTTTAAAATTGTCAAAAACTCAGAGATGGGATAGTTTAAGTTGGGGTATATTTTAAAAATTTTCTAAAAAGCCGAGATAGCTTAATTATTTAAATTTTGCAATATTTTTAAAATTTTTAAACAAATAGAGATAGGATAATTATTTAAATTGGACAAGATTCCTGAAATTAAAAAAATCAGAGATGGGATAATTATTTAAATTGGGGAAGATTTTTAAAATTTTCAAAAAATCAGCGATGGGATAATTATTTAACTTGGGCAGGATTTTTTAAATTTTCATAAAATCAGACATAGGGTAATTATTTAAATTTTGCAAGATAATTATTTAAATTAGGGAAGATTTTTAAAATTTTCAAAAAACAGATTGGGTTATTATTAACAGTTGGAAATTTTTACAAAAGTTTTGAATATTCAGAGACAGGTTAATTTTTAAAATTAGAACATGCTAATAAAATTCTATTGGAAGATTCCAATTAGTAAAAACGTTTCAAAGTATGTCAAAAATTCAAGTAGTGGTAATTGTTTTCTTTATAGTACGTCGCTGCGACATTGGACTCTTGATTGCCCACCACCGATGGACTTGTTCTGAAGACGAATCTCGACCTCTAGACAAGATTGTGCAAAGCAGAACTATGCAGTCTGTCAGGCAGTCATTTCCAGGTTTCAATTTCAAACTTATTTTCAGTGATAATTTTTTCTGTGCAAAATGCATTGAGTTTTTTGGACGGCGCCGTGTTCGCACATGTTGTCATCCAAAGCATAACAATAAATACAAAGGCAAAAATGTGAAATACATCACTGCGGAAGATTACTTTACCCAATACAAAGCCCTGGGATTATTACCAAATCAAGCGATATGCAAGGACGCAAAATTCTGCTATGATGATACCCAAGAAATTCAAGATCAAGATTCGGAAGATCCTACCTTTGAAGAACCAGCCTCAAAGAAGAGATTGGTCGAGACGTTAACAAGTATCAAGCAAACAATTTCCCCTTCGGCCCCTGCAATAGCATTGAACAGAAGAAATCTCAAGCAACAAAGTAATCTAGTCACAAGAGAACTTGAGCAAGTAACGAAGACAATCACCACAGGATTCCAAGATGTCGGACTACCAATTCCAGACAAAGAACAACACAATCAAGAACAACTTCTCCAGGATTCTACAGATCTCAACTGGATCATGAAGCACTTGAAGCTAAGATTGCAAGGATGTTCTCAAGCCGAAAAAAAACAACTGCTTACCTTAGTTCCACCGTCTTGGAGTATTAAGAAGACTCAAGATTTCTTCAATATTGGGAAACGCTTGGTCCAGGGAAGCCGCAAACGTCGTAAAGAAACCGACACAATCCTTCCTCCAATAAAACCAAAATCTGGATACAAAATTACCCAAGAAACCAAATCCAATATTCAAGATTTCTATTATCAAGATGATGTGTCAAGAGCCTGCCCAGGACAAAAGGATTTTCTGTCCATCAAGAACAAGGAAACAGGAAGACGAGAACACAAGCAGAAACGATATCTTCTAGGCAATCTCAGGGAGCTCTACCAAAATTTCAAGATTCAGTACCCGGATTCGAAAGTTGGGAAATCGTCATTCATGATGCTGCGGCCACGAGAATGCATCTCGCTAACCAGCAAGGGATACCACAACGTTTGCGTGTGCATTTACCATGAAAATGTGAAGGTGCTGTTCCATGCCATCAAGATTTCATCCATCAAGCCTTCAATTTCACAATTAGTCTGTGAAAGTGGATGCAAGGATTGCTACTACAGACGATGTACAAAGTGTAAAGGATCTACAACAAATTTCAAAATAGCTTTAAGAGAAAACGAAGTCATCAGGAACAACACGTCAATTTCATACCGAA